CATGATTGCATGGGGTGTCTGTGGTGTCACGGGGAAAGAAAGGAAAAAAGAGGCCCAACAGATCTTTTTCAGTAGGGGTAACTGTGTTGATGTCAGCTTTGAGTTTCTTAAACCACTAGTACCTTTTTCCCGGAAGGTAGTGGGGCCGAAACCCAACTACGGTTGTGGCTGCAAACCGGGTCCAGTGTCCCTTTCCTAGGATTAAGATAGTGGTTTTGTTAACTAGGGTACCACCCCACGAAGGCTGGAGATCGGGTCCAGCGTCCCTGAATGATATCTCACTATTGAATGTTGTCCAAGTAGTGCTGAGGAATATTCTCAGCCCTTCTACAGCTGGGAACCGGGCCCAGCGTCCCTTATCTGGTTATAGGAAATTCCAAAAGAATCTAGTATGGGCATAGCACCTGTCCATATTAAAATTCAGGTAAAAAAAAAAAAAAAAAAAAAAAAAAAAGGCTCTAGTTCTACATCCATCTGGCTTCTCAAACCCTCTTGTGCCATATCTAAAGCTCAGAAAACTCAGAACTTCAGAAGACAACAAAAAAACTATTATGTACAGTATTTACACCTGTCAATAAGGAGAGTTTCTCTTAATCTGGTTCCACCGCCCATGCTCTTCTGAATCCGAGCATTCTTGAGAAGATGATTCTGCCTTTCTGATCAGGTACGGCCCAAAGACCATGCTTACTCCATTTGTCCTTGAACTTCGCCATTTTGCGTTCCATAGGTAGCCCAGAGCGATCTATTTTCCTCCAATTTGCCTGGATGATGTTCTTTAGTTTTGCAATCATGGACAATTGTTGTAGCGGACCTCGGGTTGGCCTGTGAGACCAGCCCCTTGGCCTGTTCTCACAGGCCTGTGTTGTATTCGGGGTAGGTGAGTCTAGGCCGGTACCTCTGTCTGTACTAGCCAGTCCAGTCCAGTCCAGTCCCGTCAGTCCGCTGGGGTATACCCCAACCATTGTTTGTTTTCAGTCTCATTTTCTCAGTTCCACATTTTGGAGTACGTGCGTTGGAGTCTTGCGTGGGGAGCTGCGTTATGCCATCTCGCTCCCCCCTTCTTCCTCCATCTCCATCTCTACCAATAGCGGAGCACCACACCTTGTGGGTCCGCTACATTGGTATCGGAGCGGGAACGGTTCCCGCTCCCTCCCACCACCCCGTACAGCTGGGCAGCAGCCCGCACAGGCGGAAAAGGCCGCCGCACGCGCACAGGCCAAGGCCGCCGCATGCGCGCGCGCGCGCCACTCGCCCACGCTGCCCCGCCTCGCCCCGCTCCCGGATTTATATTATCAAGATCCGGGATGCAACTGCTGCTGCTGGGGTTTAAACCCAGGTGGCTGCTGGGCCATGCGCGTCCGTAAGCACCCTGCCAACACACTCGCCATTGAGTGTACATGGTCTTGGAGCACGACACACTTGTGTTAAAGAGGTGCCGTGCTGGCTATTTACCCCACCCCACCCCCCCGCCGCCGAGCACTCGGAAGCGAGCAGCAGATCAGCAACGGTCGGGCTGCTATTTGCCCCCCCCCATCCAGACGCAACTCGCGACCCTCGGGCCCTTACAGGCGCAGGTGGCGACCCTTGCCGCCGGCGTGCAGCAACTCCAAGATGCTGGTCGTCCTTCCTCTCCTCATCCTCTCTCTTCTCCTGGCTCTCAGTCCGGGTCCCCTGTTCTCCGACAGGGTGGCCACGGCGGAGTTTCCTCCTCTGCCGCCCCCGACCCGGCCATTTTGGTTTCCGTCCACGCCCCTAGCTCGACGGCCGCCACGAGTCAGACCCTTCCTCACTCTACGGGCGCACCGGCCCAGATTCCGGTTATGACGGCCACGGGACCACAACCCGTTACCATGATCTCAGCGTTTCCGGGTGCCCCGCTCCTCCCCCCCCTTCGCACGACCGCAGCGCCACCTGGCTCTTCCCCCTCTTGGATGCCTCGCACCGCTTGTGCATCCACTTCCTCCTCTCTCCCCCCTGCTACCCCTTGCACGACCTACGTTCGAGGTCTCGAGGACGAGATTGCCTAGCTCCGGGCCAACCTCGCCCTCTTGCGCCTTCAGCCACCCCCACCCTCCCAGGTGGCCGCGCCTTCCGGCGCACCCCCTTCTTCCTCTATTCTTCCTTCCATGCAGGCTCGCTTCCCTCGCCCTGCACCCTACCAATCTCCATCCTACCTCCTCCCCATCCCCTCGGTTGCTGCGACCTCTTCTACCGCAGCTCCCGTGCAGCCTGCCGCTACTTCCCCCGCCGCTCCACCATGCGGCCCGTGCGTACAGTCAGCTGCACTTCCTCCTCCAGGACTTGCGCCGACTTATTCCGCTGTAGCGCAGTCCCCTGCTTCCCGCTCCCCTCGCCGCCAAAACGGTGGCGCACCACTCATCCGCTTGTCGGACATTCCCTTGTATGACGGTACAGGCATACGCGTGTCTAGGTGGCTGCAGTCTGCCACCCGCACGCTCYARCTYATCGGCGCCACACCCGACACGTGGGTGGGTCACCTCTCCATGCGCCTGCGTGGTGCTCCTTTCGACGCCTGGGAGGATTTCTATGCTTACTCCCTGCGTGAGGGTCGGACTCCCACCTTCTTGGATTTCCAGGCGTTCCTCGAGGATCGCTTCGGAACCCGATATGACGTGACTGACGCCTTCGAGCGTGTCGTCATTACACGCTGGTCCGGCTCTGGTGGTGCTGTCGGCCTGGATCGCCACATCCAAGTCTTTCAGGACGCCCGCCTCGTTTGCGACGTGGCATTCCTCCCCGAGGCTGCCCTTATCGATCGTTTCCTGGCCAGCCTCTCGCTCGAGTACCGCTCCGAGCTATGGCGGTACGAGTTCACATCGGCCCCACAGGCTTACGAGGCCGCCAGGGAACATCAGCGGATGCGAGCCCGTCCTCACCCCGCCTCCTCCTCCCAGCCCCAGCGCACGGGCTACGCCTCCTCCTCCTCTCACGGCACTTCCCAGCGCCGTTCCCCTTTCCGCGGTCGCCCCCGCCGTTCCACGCAGTAGGGCCGCCACTTCTCGCGCCGCTTCAGCGCGTTGGAGTATGGTGAGCAGGACGCTGTTGCCCCACTGTCACCTGAGGGCGACCACAGCGACAACCTCGATCTCTGCGAGGCTGTCCACTATCACTTGAAGGACTCTACCCTCCCTGCAGCTGAGCGCCTTCAGCTCGCGCTCTCCGCCCTCTCTCGGGCACGCAGCCGCCCCGGTCACGCTGGCACGTCGCCCCCCGAGGTCCCTCTGGAGGACCTCCCTCAGGGCTTCGTCCCTCCTCGTAGTGTCCTTTCCCCTGAGGAGTGAGCGGCTATTCTGGGCCGGCGTGGGTGTTTGCGCTGCCGCTTGGACGGTCATACCTCCTCGCGGTGCCCTTACACTACCGCCCTGGACCGCCACTACGCTGACCTTTCTCGTTGTGTCGTGCTCAGTCCCCCCCCGGTGCCTCACGTCCCCGCGGCGCCTCCTAGCCACGGTGCAGTGTACACCTGCGCCCTCCTCAGTAGTGGGCTTCCCGACATCTCCATCGCGGTTCGCCCCTCTCACTACTGGAGTTGAGGTATCGCAGGACTCGACAGAGTGTACTCAGCCCTCTGTCGCAGTACCGTCTGCGCCTCCGCAGACCACCGTCTCCCGACCTTCCCCGCCGCGACCACCGACGCGTCGAGCCATTCGCTCAGCCCGTTGCAGCGAGCAGCTTGCTACTCGCGACGACGTTGTGTCCTCTCTTCTAGACTTGAGCATGCTCCAGGCTCGTCAGGAGCGACTCACCCTTCATGTCGCTGCATTGCGTCGCCTTCTCGCCATCCTCTCTGACCCTGATCGCACCCTCTCGATCATCCCAGTACGACTCGGGACCTCCACGAGGGTGTACTCAGCGCTGTGGGATTCCGGTTCTCAGGGCGACTTCATTCACCCACGCGTGGTGAAGGAGGCCCGCTTACCCACGACAGGGTCTCTGACTCCCATCTCTGTTACCCTAGGGGATGACAAGACCCAGCGCTTCTTCGATCACACGGTCACCAACCTCCCCTTCTTCCTCACTCTCGAGCCGACTGATCGTTTCCCGGCATCTCGTCGCCACCGCTCCTCTGCACATTTCGATGTGATGGAGACGGGATACGACTTTATTCTCGGCACTCCGTGGTCTCGTCGCATCCACAGCACCGAGGCCGATTGGGCGACCAACACTCTCGTTCTCAAAACGAAGTGTGGACAGACGCATCGCGTACCTTTCATAGGTACCACGACAACACCGCGCCCCGATCCTCCTCTCCAAGCCTTCTGCGCCCATACCATCTCCTTCTATCACTGTCACTTCACCTCGGCAGTTCGCTCACTTCATTCGACAGGACGACGTCACCTTCTTTATGGTGGACGTGACGGATCTCTTACACTATGATCCACCCTGTCCCGACGCCGAGCTCATCCCTCTGGAGCTAGATCCTCCCTCTATCTCCATGGCTCCCACCCCCTGACGCTGACGCTGAGGAACTCGCACGATATACGGCTGACCTGGAGCTCGCAGTTCGTGACCTCATCCGAGAGTACCACGACGTTTTCCCATCGTCGTYCTCGTACGCCGGCATCCCACCGATGCGTGACGTCGAGCACTCCATTCAGCTTGTGCTTGACTATCGTGTTCACCACCAGGCACCCTACAGACTTTCGATCCCCGAGGCCACCGAACTCAAGCGTCAACTTTAGGAGCTCCTGAGACTGGGTTTCATTAAACCCAGCAACTCCCCGTGGGGTGCACCCGTCCTCTTTGCTTGCAAAGCGGATGAAACTCTTCATCTCTGCATCGACTATCGCGGTCTCAACCGCTACACGGTTAAGAACAACTACCCCATAACTCGTTCCGATGAGTTGTTCGACCGCCTAGCAGGCAACCGCTTCTTTACGAAGATTGATCTTCGTAGCGGTTACCATCAGATCCGCGTCGCTGCAACCGACCAGCCGAAGACCGCGTTCCGATCGCGATTCGGCCACTATGAGTTCACGGTGATGCCATTCGGCCTCACGAATGCTCCCGCTATCTTTCAGAGGGCGATGAACGACATTTTCAGGGACATCCTGGAGCACTACGTTCTCGTCTACCTCGACGATATCCTGGTCTACGGTCGTACCCTTGAGGAGCACCTCAGACATCTCCGCGACGTCCTTGACCGCTTGCGCAGACATGGTTTCTACGCCAAGCTGAGCAAGTGCCGCTTTGCCCAGCACAAAGTGGATTTCTTAGGACACGACGTGTCTGACCAGGGTCTCGACATGGACGACGCGAAGATCACTCTTATTGCGAAGTGGCCCGCTCCCACATCCGCCAAACAGCTTCGCAGCTTCCTAGGTCTGACCAGCTACTACAGTAACTTCATCCGGGGATATGCTAGGTATTCCTACGTCCTTACCTCCACCCTCCTCCGGAAGAACCCACCCTGGGCTTGGACACCCCTCCACGAGGACGCCTTCCGCGCCCTCAAGAAGGCAGTGACATGCGCACCGGTTCTTCACCTACCCGATTTTGACCGCCCTTTTATCCTTACCACCATTGCGTCAGACTTCGCTGTAGGAGCAGTGCTTTCTCAGGTCTTCCCCTCCTCTCCTGATTCCTCTTATCCTCGTATCCCTCGCTTCCCACCACCTACCCCTACCACTGCTTCCCGACTGACGCCAACTCGTCCAACTACTGACGAGCCTTCTATTGACTATTCTCCTACCATTGCCGAGGACGTCACTGTCGAGACTCGCTCAGGTGATTGTCCGATAGCCTTCTACTCCCGTCAGCTCCTGCCCGCCGAGATAAACTACACTGCTGATGAACGTGAGGTTCTCGCAGTAGTTTATGTCGTTCGGCACTGGCGTCACTACCTGCACGGGGCACCGTTCACGGTGCGCACGGACAACTC